CCCTGGCAGAATTGTTTTCTTCTTTCTCTATGACAAAGAGTTTCTCTCTCACCTGCTAAAGCAGTTTGTTACTGCTTTTTCTCCTTCCAGCCCCTTACCCCTGCCCTCTTCATACTGACTGGAGCAGGAGTCAGCACACACGTGAAGCCCTTCAGAGTTCAGCCCACCAAGCAGCTCTTGAGAGTTGTGGGTGATTTTCAGCTCCCGTGAAAACAAGATGAAGCTGATGGTATTTGATGCTTGGCAAGGGACCAAGCTGTGATTGATTTACTGCACTGAACTCTTCATTTCTGGGGCTGCCTAAGAAGCAGAGTGACAAGAAATTTTAATTTCTTCACTTCTGGGGCCCAGTAAAAGGCCAGAAAAGGCCCAGTATACACACTGCCACTGGCTTATGGAGGCTGTGTTAAAGGGCTGGAGCAACAGGGCTTTCAGACAGCTGAAACGCTGCTCTGTAGGACAGAGGCAACCTGCCCCCTGTACGACCCTTCTGCCCTAAACCTCTTTTACATTAGCAAGAGAAAACTGTAGTCTTACATTAGAGCTGCAAAAGCAAACGCCAAAGTGTTTATTCCCTTCGTCACACCATGTAGCACCTTATTGCTTCAGTGAGTCAGTGGAAATACTCCAAGAGTTAAGCATTTACATGTGGATACGATCAAGCCAAGGCCAAGGCTCTGCTGACTTCATTACAGCCAGGAGTCTCTCCTGGTGTTTAAACCTAGTTCTAAAATAGCTGTCCGGTTCTTTTACATTGCAGCTTCTCATGAGACATCTAAAATACAAAGAATTTAAAAGTTCATTGAACACCTCAAAGTAGTTTTAAAGCATTCCTGTGGTTGTGCCATACCTGCACTTTGGAGAGAAGGGAAGACAGAAGCTGTTGAAACCTGGCTATATGGGCTAACAGAGTACACACCTTGTGCAGAGGGATGTTGGGATTTTGCTCACTCACTTGTTTCTTAATTTAATCATTAACTGAAATATGTACAAACCACCCCAGGAGCAGATCCACGGGCTCCTCCTGTCTGTTCTCCCCGACCCAGGAGTGTTGCGGTCCCTCCAGAGCTCGCAGGGTGCCCTCCCTCTCTCAATTCCCTTTCACAAGATGAGGATAACACTTTCTTCGAGAGCAGGGTCTGTGACTGCAAACCCCCCAAGGCCAAGGAGAGCTCCTGCTTCCAGGCAGGAGGAATTCCCTAAGGAGTGCCAGGACCTTTGTAGACATGGGTGGTCACATGCTGAGTCTCTGGCTCCCCCAGGGCCCTCCAAGCAGGATGGGTGTCCGTGGTTGAAGGGCTTCTAGGTGTTTGTAGCAGCATGACCGCAGGAAAGGGTCCTAAGGAAATTTTTTCATCAGGAAACTTAGATGCTATGGTGTCATCAGCACCAAAGCACTGCAGCTTACTGCTGCCCTGAGCACAGACAGGCACCTTCCACTGAAGTCGTACTTTAAGGCATCAAAATATGATTTCAGCTATCTCTTTAGGGGATTTTAAGTGTCTCAAAGAAGTATTTAAAGGGGTTCGCTTTGGCCTAGGGAAGGTAGTTTCTCTCAGTTCCTCCGTAGTTGAAGTTGGAGAACAGGCTCCCATGGGGATGGTCCAGCTGGCCCACGCTGCCCATGGTCATGCCCAAAGTCCCAGTGATGCACACATCTGCACACCTTCCCACCCCTGTCGCAGGATGCTACAGCCACCAGCCGCACCGTGTCACCTCTTGGGAATCATCACCAAGGCCAGCTTCAGAGATGATTTGAGCATGTAGGAATTGTTTCTGAAAAGGTAATTTATGCTCCTTTAAAGGTGCGTGGCAGTAAAGATTCAGATAGGCACATCTCGTCCAGAGCCGGCATTCCCGGCAGCCCCGTCTCCCATACCACCAGGTAGACGCTGTTTCAGGAGCGAAGAGTACCGTTTACAGAGTTGTTGTCACCTCTTCCTACCACACTCAACAGAAACCTGGCAGATGCACAGGATAGGATTGCAACAGACAGTCCTTCTTATTCATCTCTATTTTCCTATATCAATCTCTGCAAACCAATTAAAACAGTTCACCAAATGGAGTTAAGCAATCTCCCCGAGAACTTTAAGAAATGACTCTTATCATCCCTCCTGAGAATAGGCTCAATGGTCAAGGCCACAATGAAATCTTTCTTTTCTTGTAAAAGTTAACTGAAGTTAGTTATTAAAGTTCAGACAGTATTTAGGGAGGTTCTGAAATGAAGAACAGCATGAGATACCTGCACTGCCTCTGAAAATTTCAAGGATATCTTTTCCATAAAATCTTCATCTGGTTTCTTCTGGAGCTTCATAGAAGACACATCAGGTACAATTCTGACTTGCCAGCCTAGGCATGGGATAGGTAAATTAATGCTCATAAATAAAATGCTTCTAGTCATGTATTGTATTTCTTGTAAAATGTAAAAGATTTCTTTGTGGAATTTTTTTGTATTTTTCAGATGTTTATATTGGAGAAAAATAGAGTTAGAGAGTGTGTACACATAGATTGAAAAGGGGGATGCAGCACGCTGATATTCAATTATTTGGCGAACGTTACCAGATTTTTGCATACTTCTTAGACAATATTTAGGATAAATTAATAGAGGGGGAAAATATCCCTTTGTTAGTCTGATCAACAAAATGACGAATGTCAAAATACGCAATACCAAAGGCTCACAAATGTGGGAGATTAGCAGTGGTGCAGCCTTTGGCCTGTGAGAGATGGTAGTGCCATTAATTGCTAGTCATAAGAACAAGATCAGAAGCTATAAGCTGTATTAGGAATTAAACTGAACTTGAATGTTATCTCTGGGTTTTCAGTTCAAATCTAGCCTGGGTCAATAGTGAAAGTTGTTACCATTTGATAGCTGTGCAGTCTAATCTCTTCCTGTGCTCTTGTTCCCTGTGGGTGGCTGGACACAGTATAGAAGTCATCAGAATCGCACTAATTGGCAGTCTCCAACAAGAAGTCCAAGGGCTTAGTGACAGAGGCGCTTAGAAAAGGCAACACAGGTTACCAGAATCAGGATCGCTCTTTTCGGGCTTTGCAGAGGAAGTCGGTCTCTGCTACACTGGCACTTGCTGCAATATGCAATTTTCCTTAAAATATCTGAAGTAAGTAACCGTTCAGACAGCTGAAAAAACTCATTTACAAATAACCCCCATGCAAAGGGGATTCTATCTTCCTAAATATATTTGGGAGGAAAATCCAAGCGCGCAATGGGAAAGCAATAGTGACTGAAGTAACGGTGTCTGATAGGCGTTGACAGACTTGGGGAGGAGAAGAAGATGAGCAATGCAGCCAGGACAGGGCGGGTGAGCGGAGGGTGACTAGCCACAGTCATCATCCAGCCAAGAAACACCTGGAAGGCACCTTCCACCATGCTTCAGGCGCTCTCGCTGCCCTGGTTAAGCTTAACTTGGCTAATGCTGCAGAGCACCATGGTCTTCCAAGGTGGCATAGGCTCACATTATTTAGCTTGAAGAGACCCTAAGGATGGAGGATCGAGGGCTCCATGTGAACAGCTATGACATTGATCCAAAGCTAACCAGAACGACAAGCAGTAAATTGGAGTCTCTATCAGGAAAAAAACAAAAGAATACAAAATACTTACACCTTCAACAAGGCAAGCGCTAGGAAACCAAAGGACATTTTGAGAGTTGTAAAGAGGCATACTGTACATGCCCTGAAATCAGGGCATTAAATATGGTCTGAAAAGGGAATAAAGGTTGGGAGAGGGGGCAAGAAAGACAATTAAAGTATCTGGAACAGCTACAGCACTAGGGAAAATTTGAAGCAAAAGAGAAAGCTGGGCAATTCTTTTATTTTTATGGTTTATGAGCATTTCAAAGAGTAAGCATGGCACATCTAGCCCTACAATGTGACAAACAAAACTATGCGACAGAGTTTTCAACAATATTACTCACCTT